CGCCTTTAATCCCAGCACTCAGGAGGCAGAGCCAGGCGGAGCTCTGTGAGTTCGAGGCCAGCCTGGTCTCCAAAGCGAGTTCCAGGAAAGGGGCAAAGCTACACAGAGAAACCTTGTCTCGAAAACAAAACAAAACAAAACAAAATTTTCACTTCCCCTTTGTATTCTATTCTCCTGTACTGCAAAAAGAAAACAGAAGCAACAGGTCTTGAAAGATGACCCACACCTGCTGCTCTTCCAGGATATCAGGCAGCTCAGAGCTCCAGGGGATTCAACACCACCTCATCACTACAGGCATCTGCACACACATGGTACACAAAAACTCACACAGGCACACACACACATAAATAAATAAATAAATAAATAAATAAATAAATAAATAATCTTAACAGCAACAAAAAGCCTAAGTAACAAACTCAGATTCAAAGTCAGGCAGATCCCTGAGTTTGAGGCCAGCATGGTCTACATAGCAAGTTCCTGGATACCTAAGGATACAGAGTCCTTGTCTCAAAATACATAATAAAATAAAATAGAGAGAGGGTAGAGGCCACTCTTGCAGAAAACTGTAGTTTATAGTTCCCAGTCCCAGCACGGTGGCTCACAAGCACCGTAACTCGAGTTCCAGGGTATTCAGTGCCCTATTCTGACTTCTGTGAGCACCAGGCATATGTGGTACAGAGACACACAAGCTGGCAAAACACCCACACACATACAACAAAATCAATAAACCTCAGGGTAGGCGTGCTGCACACACTTTAACCCAGGGCAGGCCAATCTCCACATCTGAGGCCAGTCTGGTCTACACAGTTGAGTTCCAAGTCTCAAAACAAAAAGCCCAACAAAGAAGAAAATCCAGGTAAATGCACTAATTAGAGGCGCTAGACTTCCCAGAGACCCCAGGAAGCTCTAGTCCCTGCTCCTCAGGTGCAGACAGAGTACTCACCCTATGAAAAGGCCCCTGAGACCCCCAGTCTGGAGCTGGTTTGGGGGATTCAGGTCTAGCATGACTCTCCAAGACCCCCTCAAAGATCTTGGGTTGGTGACTATCTGGGTACTTAAGCATTGAGTCCCGCAGCGTCTGCCCTTCCCGCAGTCTCTCACCGGGTGGTTCTGACTCAGGACCTGGAAGCTCTGTAGAAAGTTGGTAGGTGATACTGGGATAGGAAAAGACTTAGGACACATGAAAGTTTTTTGAAATCAGCTTTTGCAAACTATCCATCCCCAACTACTCTGCAAGGCCCATATTTCACCCAGTAACCCATAAGTTCTCCCTCAGGGAAATCTACACACCAGGGGAGTGGGAAGGCAAGGTCCAGGCCCCCATCTCGCTGAAGATGCTATTGAAATCTCGTACTAGATCATCAAAGCCAAAGTTGTCGTGGAACCGCATGCCTCCTCCGGGGCTGAAGCTGAAACCGAATTCCTCCGGAGGCTGAGAACCACCAAACCTATAGCTCCCTCGACCCCACGTGCTTCTGTCTTCCTCTTCTTCGTCATCATCATCGTCATCATCTCGAGTCATCCCTCCAAAAAAGGGATCTCTGTGGCTGAGAGTGGAGGCAGATAAGCCACGAGGATTTAAGCACTGTCTAAGCAATAAAATCAACCCACGGCCAGCAAAATGGGACAAGGGCAGGGCTCTGGGCAGCTGAAGAAAACACTGGAGAGCTGGCTTCCAAGTCAAAACAACACTGAAAGGTCTATTAGGGTTTTATATTGTTTCTAAATAGAGCCTATCCCAACCTCCCCACATCTCCCAAACGCCTCCCGTCTGTTGTTCTCCCCAGCGTCTCACTGCCCACTCCTATTTGCCCGAGGTCCTGCTCACTTGCTCATTGTCCTCTTCCCCCAGACCCCCATTGTCTTCTACGCCCAGGTCGCTGTTGCATCACCCCACTCTGTTTCTCTCCTCTTCACGACCGCTTTGGTTACTGTGGCGGGGTGAGTACTCAAGGTTGAGATTTCTATCTCAGCAGTTGAAGGGGGCGGGGAAGGAAGCTTTCCAAAAATACGGTGAAGGGGTCAAGCGTCCCCAAAGAACACCCCTGCCTCATGTCCAGCCCAGAACTACGCTCACCTCCGAGGTCCACGAAAGCCGAAAAAGCCCCGGAAAAGGTCAAAGAAGTTCATTCCCGTCGGGGCACTACAAACTTTAAACTTCTGCAGGACATGAGCGCCAGCGGACCGCCAGCTTGCGCTACCCTGTCAGAGTTAGCCAGGGCTCAGCATTCGCTGCCGGAAACCAAGTCAGCGGCGCGGCATTGTCGTAAAAAGACTGTAACCCGGAGGAGGAAGAGGCGGGGTTGACGGTGCTCCTCAGACGCGAAGCTTATTACACTACCTTTCAGAGTTGAGTGAGGGTGGGCATGTGGAATTCCCACCGTCCAAGATCACATTCCCTTCTAGATGGTTCTCCTTCCTGCCCATCCGCCAGGCCCCAAGTGGTGTTTCCGTTACTCTCTGGATGGTTCCAAGTAAGCCGTCAGAGGGAGTGGCCTGTCCCGAGCCCTGCCTCGCCCCAGGCTCAGAAAACACTCCCACTTTGTGTTTGTTTCTAGACTGATGTAAGTGACGTCCAACAGTATGGGTTAGGCAGTGTTGTACCAAGCTCCTTCCAGAGCTATTTCCCTACTGCTGAATAAAGACATGGGGATGCTAGGAATCGCTTCACCTAGTAGGGAGTTAGTTCTGGCCATAATGAATTCTTTTAAACATGTGTTTGTTTATTCGACACACGGTTTCTCTGTGTAGACCAGGCTGGCCTCTAACTCAGAGATCTGCCTGCCTCCGCCTCCCAAATGCTGGGATTAAGGAAGTTGCCACCACTGCCTGGTTGCTCTTTTAAACTTTTAAAACAGACTGCAACCAACAAGGTAAGATTTACACTAGGCAGGCAAGAGAAACTACTGAAGCATCCTGGAAAGTAACAAAGAGTCAAAGAATTATGACATTTGGTGGTGCATGCTTTTAATCCCAGCACTCCAGAGGAAGAGACAGGAGGATCTCTGTATGAGGCCAGCCTGAACTACATAGCAAGATCCTGACTCAAACACACATCCTCCCCACCCAAGCCAGAAGGATACTTGCAGTTTGGGAAGTCAGAAGCAGAATCTCTTGAATCCTTGGCAATATGGTGAGTCTCGGGCTCTTACAAACAAAACTCCCCTTTTCCCATGTAATGAAGACCAAAACCTTTTAGCATACCATGCCCCCACCCCATGTCTTGCTCTACATCATCTACCCTTGCCCAGAAATTGGGCATTTCTAAGCGACATAAAATAGGCAAGGCAGGATGTGGTGTTGAGAATCTTTAACTTCAGCACCCAAGAGGCAGAGCAGGCAGGCCTCTGACTTTGAGATCAGCCTGGTCTTCATACCAAGTTATAGGCCAGTCAGGGTTACACAGTAAGACTGTCTCAAAAACAAAACCCAGACAAGAACTACTGTAGTCTACTTCTATAAAGCGAAATGGACCCTAAGCTTTGGTTCTGCCAGGCAATAGCTAATGTTGGCTTCAGACTTCAGAGTCGTTTAAAATCATGCTTAAGTTCCCATAGTCCCTTTCTTTGAAATGTTCTTACTCCTTCCCCCTTCACTTCCTAAAACTTGCTATAGATGAGGCAGTTTCTAGAAGAAATGAAGACTTGTAGTGGTTCTTTCCAGTCACAGGGTATGAAAGGGAATCCCCTTAAGGGCAAAATATTAGCACATTAAGGTGAGAGTTCTTAAAGGGCAAAGATTCCACTTTATTCCACAGCCTTCGAGCCTGCTAGAAGAGGCCCAGTTGGTACGGTAATACTTATTCACCAAGCTGGTCATCGACGAGAGTGAGGATATCCTAGACGGAGCAAGAATGGGCAGAGGCTGAAGGTAGAGGTTTGGTTTTTTTCTCCTTTTTTTTTTTTATATATATATGTATATATATACAAGACACATTAATCCATTAAGTTTGAGGACACAGTACAAAAAAAAAACCACTTCAACTAATTCATATGACAATGCTGTTCATATTTATGACACCATTTTTTTTTGTGTGTGTTGTTTGGTTTTCCTAATAATAAAGGAGGAGACTTAGGGCTGTTGGGCTGATATATATTTGGGGGGGTTCACCTCCCCACCTCACCTATACACCACCAGGGTGAACAGGAAGAAGTGAAGGAAAGGCAGGGCCCACAGCAAAGTTTCATAATCTTGAATGCAAAGAGGAAGGAGGAAGGGGGAGGGAGAAAATACAAATCCTATAATACATACAACAGAGTGGGATGGTATAGGAATGGGACAGACATGAAGCTGAGGTGTGGGATGGGCCGCTGGGGGTGTGGAGCAGCGGAATCGCCCCACATTCTTTTCTCTTTGATGCTGTTTCCATAGTTTCCAGGCTGAGAGCCCTCTCAGAAGATGGGGCCGGGAGAAGAGGCCGGGCCTCAGTTGGCCCCCCAGCTGTAGCTGTTGTAGGCAGACTTGTTGGTCTGGGGCTTCTGCGGGATGGAGCTGGTCTGGCTACGTTGCCCGCTGCCCGTCTGCAGGGGAATGGGAGGGTTATGGGGGAGGAAAAAGGTGTCTAGTTAGTGGGACCAATCTGTAACATCTTCAAGTGGAAATGTGTCAAACAGTTATACTCTCTCATTTCCTCAGAACCTACTATGAAGTTTACTTTTCAAGCATAGAAAATTCGGGCTACATAGCCTCTTTTACAAGGCAACATTTTTTTTAACCTTAAAAACAGAGGAAAAATGAAAAGTGGACAAGCAAACTTTGGAGATAAGATGGTGAGTTGGTTCTATTCCTGCTCAGTTGTCTTCCCTACTATCTGCTGCTCTGGTCTAAAAAAGGCAACTTTGAGAATTCTGGCCTTTTTGAAGTGATTGATTACAAGAGGATTCAATTCTCACTCATCTCTGTGAATGACTCAATATGGAAAGCTATCTTTGAGAGCAAGGAAGTTGCCCAGCCACCTACGCTGGAGCTCTTAAGTGGTCTCTTTTCCCACCCTTCAGATCCACCCACCACCATACATTAATTAATGTGACACCAATTCAAACAAAGCAGGAAAGACTTGAGGCATCAGGCTCCAGATGCTGCCCCAAGAATCTTTTCCATTTTGGTAACCAAGTGTTTCCAGAGTTGGGGAAGGGTAGAAAGATAAAGAGGGTGTTGAAGGGGGAAGGAAGAGAGGACGGGGAGGCCAGAGAGCTTAGCATAGTGTTTCTGTTTGTGTATCCCGATTTGTGATTGGGTAGGCTTTTCAAGTTATCTGAGGCTGTGGAGGTGAAATGGGGACTAAAAAGAAGTTGGTTCAAGCATATTATCATTCAGTTTCATTACCTGCTCCTCCTGCTGGCGCTGGCAACAGAGAATCATCTGCAAATATGGTAGCTGAGGCAGAACCAGGATATATGGAAAATAAAGGGACAAACTTTTGACAATAGAACTCCACCGTTAGAAGGGAAATCTATAATGTCAGGGAAGGGAGAAGGCTGGGAGAGGTTAAGAGGGAAGGTGTGACCCAGGTCTGACAGGATGAGGAGAACTGTGCCACGGGAGGTGGAGGAGAAAGGTACCAAAGGAACTGGGCAAAAGGGTTTCAATCTGGCCCCTTCTCTCATGTTTCCTTTGCCAACTGCTCATGTTATGTGCGCTTGTGTCTGTATGTGCTGTGTGCCCCTGGCTGGCACTGGTGAGGACTGGGTGAAGGTGGTGGTAAGGAAGGTTAAGAAAAGGAAAAGGGAGGCAGTTTTAAGGGATAGGAAGGAAGAGGAAGGGAAAGGAGAGAGGGGGAAGGGCTATTACCTGGCCATCCTGCTGCAGGTGATGATGAAGGATCTGAGAATGTGGCTGCTGATGGGGGGTCAGAATATGCATAAAGGGGGCAGGTGGGTAGGCAGCAGCCGTGGCTGGATTAATGGGTCCTCCACTTCCTAGGGCTGAAGGCAAGTTGAAGGAGGCAGCAGGAGTCCCGGAATGAAAGCCTTGTTTCTCAAAGGACTGCTATTCCGGGAGAACAGGAGGAGAAAGAGGAAAAGGGATCATCAGAAGAATCCTAGGACTTTCTGAGCCCAAATACCCCTATCCTCAGAAAGCAGCAAGGTCAGAAACAATAGCACACCTCAAGTCATTCAAAAGTCTTAGTCCTAACTCTGCCTTTTCATAGCTCCATGATCCTAGGCAAATGAACCACTTGGCCTCAGTTTCCTCATAAATAAGAGATAAGTTAGGTGGTGGTGGCCTTTAATCCCAGCACTCAGGAGGCAGAGGCAGAGGCTGGTGATCTCCGTGGGTTCAAGGCGAGCCTGGTCTACAAAGGGAGTTCCAGGATAGTCAAGAACAACTAAAGCTACCTTAGAGAAATCCTGTCTCAAAAACAAAAACAAAAAAAGATATTGCTGATCTTTTGTCATAAGGATCAAGCATAAAGATGACTATCAAAGCACCCCATGAAATCTTTCATTGGTCAGGCATGATGGTGCACACCATTAATCCCAATCACTTGGGAAGCAGGTGGATCTCCGGAGTTCAAGACTAGCCTGGTCTACACAGTGAGTTCCAGGTCAGCCAGGACTACCGAATTAAACCCTTCCTCAAAATAAATAAAATTGTACATTTCATGTGAATACAGGGAAATTTGCTCACTAGTCTGGGCATTCCTGCATAAATTAAAACTCCTTAGATATTTCTGAAGAAATGACTAAACACTGAGATATCTTGAGTATGGAAGATGCTGGGACATAAAAATAACAAGATATACCTATAGATAACTCAACAACAAATACCTCACTTTATTCCCACTCTTGTTTATGGACTTAAAAAGAATGAAATTAACTAGTTTCCCTTCATTTCCATATTTTTTTGGCCGAGTTATGAAAATGATCGTTAAGTGGGTAGGTCAAGGGACCAAGACCACTGCACAGTAAATAACATCACATTACAATTTACCACACTTGACCTTCCTATGACATTTCTTTTTTTTTTTTTTCCTCAGAGGGCTAAATTTAAAGTCCTAGAGAAACTGAAGCCTAGAGACAATTCAACTCCACCTCCATGTCCATCTCTTTCTACTTTCATCCAGACCAGGCACCTACCTGGGTTTTGGAGTACACAGAACCCGAGATATCTGGCACGCCCGTGTTGCTGGAGGTGACTGATACACCTAGAGGAGGAGGAAGCACAGAGGATTAGCTGTTATCAGCCTGAGTGTTCCTAGGACAGCGTGGTGTCTGCAGCCTTTCTAGCTATGGCACTGCAAAGGAATTCTGGTATGTTTTTTTTCCACCTTTACATCAGTTCTGAGATGTCAGAATTCATGACACAAATGATGCCTAAAAGTTCTTCTGCTCTTTCTAGATATGTGTGGAATACATGTGTGAACTTCCTTCTGAGGGGCGCAAGGGGATATGAGCAAAACCTCAGTAGCATATGATTTCAAAGCAAAAGGATATTATAATGTCCGTAGTGAATCTGTCTAACCAAACTCCACTCAGTTCTGCTTTTTAAGACTTTTAAGACTGGCTCTTTCTGTTTTATAAGATACTTTGGGGCTCAAAATCCTTAACACCACACTGTTGAATATTAGGAACAGTCCGGTGCAGTCCCCAGAGTGCTTATTCTAAGAGCCTCAGTTCACTCAGCCTCACTTCTCTGATCATAGGAATTATATAAGGCTTATATCCTTGTGACTTAAAGGGCTGGCATAAGAGGAATATCTGGTTCTATAATTTTAGTGGTGTAGGGAATGGGGAAATGTAGTGAGGGACAGTCTTTCAGCCTATATGAAACATACAAGCAATGTCATTTTCAGTACTTCAGTTTGTCCACAAAACAGCTTTAGTCCATACCTAACTTATGTTTCCTGTTGAAAAATTCCCTACCACCACACTTTAAAGGAGCCTGTAGTAGTATAATCCATTTTAATTTGTTCTCAAGCTGAAATAAACATACTACTACACTTTTCCTTCCTGTGGGTATTGGTCAATGAATCAAGAAGACAGGAAAAGCCATGGGATAATCTAGCATCTCACTAGAGACATTTGAAACAAAAATGTGAAAAATATGTTAACTAGGAATTTAATTCACAATTAAAAAAGAAAAGACATTATTAGTTCCTGTAAAGATAAAAAGGAAACCAAAAAAAACTACATTCCTGTCTCCAGAGGTATTTTTTTATTTGAAGAGCACTGATTGAGCTTTGTTTTGCCTTTTTTTAAAAAAACGATGTATTAATAATAAAATCACAAGGAACCTTCCATTCACTCTCAATTCAACAGCAGTTTCCACACAAATTCCAGAACTCAAATTCTCCTAGTCAATGCCTAAAACAAAGGCAGCCTTTAGGAGTTAAGTTTATAATCACTTTAGAATCCTCCAGTAGAATCGGTTTTAAGGGTTAAAGAGTCAGTCAGTGATTAAGTGCTTTTCTAGCCAGCACAAAGACCAGGGTTTGATCTCTAGTACCAAGGGAAAAAAATTTAACTGTTAAACTCTACCACATCCTAAGTCCAGATAGTGCCCTTCAAAAGGAACAAATACAATTCTAGGGGAAGAAAAAGCAGAACCACAGAAATAAAGCAAGGAAAAAAAATACTTCCCCATCTCCAAAGCCTTAACTGTAACTGCATACCTGGAAGGCACAGAGTAAACAAAGGGAATAATATATCAAACTCTTCCAGAGGTAGCAGAGATTTTTCTTCTCTTCAGAATCCAGATGCCTATCTGACAAAACAGTGGGTAGCAGGCATAACTTTAAGTTCAGTTACGAAAAGGACTAAAGCTATTGAGGTTTGAGGGGGAAGGGAGATGAGCCAGGATACAGAATATTTCCAAGACAAAACCAAAGAGACAATGAGTTATCTTTAACAGACCAGTGCATACAGCTGACTTGGTTACCCTCTGCAGAGAGAAGTTAGGGTGCTTACACAGGGTAGGAGAAATGACTAACTGGATCCAAGCTGGGTGGTGAAGAGAAACTTAGTTCTAGCAAGCTCCTACCTTGTTTTATTTTTACATAGTAACAGTTTAGTTCAGGTTTTAAATTGTATAGAAGATAGAAAGAACTAGAAATGCAAGGGGGAAAAAAAGAGAGAATCCTGTATAGTAGCTATAATAAACCTCTACGTATTAGAAAACCTAAAAAAAAAAAAAAAAAAAAATAGCAGGCTTTGATTTCCCTATTTTCACTAGTTATTCCAGAGATCCTCAGACTAAAAGTTTTGCTTTCCTTCCCACCCCACATGTCCTGCCTACCCCACCTTCCCAACTGTGGTAAAAGTCATTACAAAACAATGTAGGTGGAAGGCAGAAGAACCAAGAACCCACTTCTCTTACTTATCATGGCAGCAACTTGAAAAATAGGTTACATTCTACAGGACCAGAGAGGGTGGGAACTACACAAGGAAAGCTGAAGATCTGGTTTCCAATTAACCAAAGGTAGTGACCTAATTGTTCAAATTTATGCTATAAACCAATGGCTGATGGGTGTACTTGTTAGTGAGTGCAAATTTTCCACCAGGATGTCTGACCAAATCTCCCTCACATATCTTTGGCTACCTCCACAAGTAAAAAATGACTAATAATTCACAATCTCTGAAAAACCAAAGGCCCATGAACAGTGCTCCAGGCTAGCACAGTTTCCACAAAGCCTAAGTCCTCAACTGAGTGATCACTAATGACCTGATCAGATATCAATCAGCCAGTCAGCCTTTGAGAACCAGATGTAGAAATTAAGCCTTGGACGATACTTCCCTAACAACAGCTTTGAACACCATCTCTTTTTGCCTTTCACCATGACTTGACACTAACTTCTTGTCCTTTTCCCTCAGCCCAAGTCAGAGGCAAGGGGATAATCTACATGAAAAAGTAAAGACATAAAAGCATGGGAAATCAGTTTTGTTGTTTTTATTTATAATAGCTTTACCAACCAACCAATAGGCTGGAAACAGGCTGTTTTCCCTCCCCAGTTTAAAAATGACTATACTGAAACACTAACAGCTCTTTGGCTATACTGGGAATTGACTGAAAAGGCCACCCTCCACCCTTTATCCACAATACAGCATTGGCTCCTGGTGTCCAGAAAGACATGCACGGAAAGAACGCAGAGTTAGCTAAAGAAATACCACAGTTTATTGAAGACTACAAATATTTTTTGTTACAAGTTGGATCTACATGCCTTCCAGAAATCAAAAGCAACAGCAGGTGTGTGCATTGATGCTTCGGAGGTGCTGCACCGCTCGAACTCGAAATGGGTAAGACAGGGTCAGACACATGGGGGAGAGGGAAATGGGGAGGGGCAAGTTCAAAAGCCCAGAAGGTTTCCACCAACTCATTTCCCCAAGCCACGTAGGCCATGGCCTCAGTTCAGCAGGCTCTCCTCAGTGGTCTGGTTTCTGAAACAAGACTTCAGTGCAAATTTATACACACACACAAAACACAGCCCCCAGGCTTGGGCCAAATTAGCTCTCAGCCGTCCAGAAATGCTTGTAAGGGGGTGGATATTTTCTTCCTAAAAGGAATCAAATACATAAAAATAAATGAATTTAGAGGTTGATGAGGAACAAAATGACAAGAGCCCTCTGTTGGGGGTTGGGAACTAGGGGTTCTCAAAAAGCTGCTATAGTACGCAGATTTCTGAAATCTTAAGGCAGAAAAGAAGCTAAGAGTTTCAGAATCAGATTCCAACTCTCGCCAATCACATACCCTTTAAAATATTTGTAACTGGACCTCTTAGTACTTAAACCTAATGGAAAATTTTGGGGATGGAGCCACTCAAAGTCAAAAAGATTATACCTCTCTACCCACCAAAGTTTAGGTTAAGCCTTGTTCAATGAGAGGAGTAGCCATAAGGAATATGGGTATTAAATCTCAGAGGTTCCTCAAAATTTTTAAAACATGTATCATGACCTAGTCTTAAAGATCACAGTTCAAACCTCCACCTGTCTATTAATACCTAAACTTATTTGTTGTCTTCTGTGCTCAGTTCTCCAATTACAGAAAAGCTTGGTTATTTACCCACCCAGAGCCCATAGAAGAGTGAAGAACACTTGTTAGTTCCTCTAAATCCCCTAAAACTGTAACCAGGATGCAAGCTTTTAAATATAACTCTCAAGTCCAACCCATTAGCAACTGCAGCAATCACCTCCCCAGATTCACCTAAAAGTCATTAAAAAAAAAAATGACGGTAACTGTTGTCAGTCCTCTCCTGGAGCCAGGTACGGTACATGCCTATTACCCCAGTACTCAGGACAGTGGCAAAGACTGAAACAAATTAGAGGCAAGCCTGGGCTACATAGAGATCTTGTCTCAAAAACAAAACAAGAAAACAAGACAGATGTGGTGGTGCACGCCTTTAGTCCCAGCACTCTGAAGGTGGGGGCAGATAAATCTCTGTGGATTCCAGGTCAATCTGGTCTACATTTTGAGTTCCAGGACAGATAGGGCTACATAGAGAGACCCTGTTTCAAAAAACAAAAACAAACCAAATTTTAAAAACAACAACAAAAAACCTATAAAGTAAAAAAAGAAAAATTAAAAAAATAAAAAATCTGCAAAAGGAAAATTTTCATCTCCATTCTCCAAAAGTAAAGCATCAATGTCAGTTAGAGAAGCAAGGGCTAGACTACATGTGTCCCTAAAATACCTGCTTACTTTCCTGCCATCAAATGTGCAGCAGGCCTTTGCAAGAAGACTAGCTATACAAATGAAGAAGAAACCTGAGGGTTTATGTTCCACTCTACTCATTTTCCTCCATATTGTAGGCCTTCTAGCTAGGGAATTAAGAAAGGGAAGCCATATAACAAAATTACTGCTACAAATGAACTCATGCCAAACCTATGGTACAGTCTGTTAGCTAGGAAAGCATCAAAATCTCCCGAGTACTCTGATCTCACTCTCAGTGCCATGTACACTACCATTTTCCCTCAATGACATTTCACTGAAATCTTGGGGCCCCTGCCCTGTTTCTCACCCAAACACAGATTAGCCAACATATGCCCTTGGAGCATTCCCACTTTGAATAGTGGATACATGCTCTAGTAAATGCTCCTTGTTGGTACTGTTCTTAGACCCCCTAAGCCAATCAAACAATGACAATCATATGTGGAGAGTTAGCTTACCCTCACTGACCCACTTCCAAATATCAAGTCTTTCTCCCATCTAGTAATATCCCACACAGACCACCGAACAAGGGCTGGAGGGAACTTACCAGTGTTGTATCCGTGAGACCCATATCCACTTGGCTGTTGGAAAGGGGTGGCCGAGGCATTCACACTGACATTCACACCATGCTGCTTGGAAGAGGTAGGAGCCACCTGAAGAATAAAAAGGACAGAAATGAAATGAAACGGCAACAGACAGCATCTCTCTCACTTGTCCTACTCCAAAGACTGGACATTTAGGCAGATACCCATCCTAATGTAGGTATCTGCACAGATTGAACAGTGAAATGGGATCCTTACTGATTGTGGCTGAAGGAGAAATAGCCCCCAAATGCTCATGTATTTGATATCTGAGTACTTAGTTCCCTCACTGCTTAAGGAGGTTCTAGAACCATTAGGAGGTAAATCATACTGGAGGAAGAATCAGTGGGACAGGATTTGAGGGTTTGTAGCCCTATGCCATCTTCCTGTTCTACTTCCTACTCTAGGTACCTCACCATTATGGACTCTCCCCTTCAAAACGTAAGCCAAAAACTAACTATTTCTTCTGTAAGTTGCTTTTGGTCATGGTATTTTAAACTAACAACAAAAAAGTAACTAATCTACCAATGTTTTCAGAACTGACCTGAGCAGTCAAGTTATAGTTTGTAGATTAAAAGAGACAATGGTAGCAGAGAAAGGAGGAGACGGCAAAGATGTATCACATTCCTCCTTTGGCTAATTCTAAGATTCAGGTAATCCTTGTTCCAATTAAAATCCCATATCCCTTCTTCTCAGGCCAGAAATGGGCCAAAGGTACAAGTTGTTCCTCATTTATTACTAAGGAGTCATTTAGCCTTGAAAGCAGCTAGGATGGTACCCAGAATTGGGATCCTTCACAAGGAGACCAGCCAGTCAGTTACTCACAGGGAACACAGCAGGCCCATACTGGAAGGTGCTGGGGAGGCCCGGGACCCCTGTGTAGTACGGCAGGCTGGTGTAACTGTAGCCAGGAGGCAGCGCCGGGTTCAGGAATGTCTGCTGCGTGGTGTGGTGAGTCTGCGTCTGGTTCTGTTGGGGTTGGGCCAAGGTTGTGGCTGGGGCTGGGGAGGAGGCATCCCCGCGACCAAACTTGGTGAGGTCACCTATGAAAAGAAGGGCTAGCTGTATACTCTATAATGTGCAAAGGCTCCCAAAATGAAACCTCCCCATGTTCCTCTGTTAACTTGTTTTCCTTAATCTCCATCCCACCCTTTTCTTACATCTTGCTTCTCCAAGGACTTGGAGGACAACAAGAATTAAGGGAAGATGAGAAGACAATGATCAGTTATGCATAAACAAAAACCTAAGGACTAGCAAGGCAATGAGACTGCCATTGTACACAGGGTAAAGCGGCACAAGGGAGTACAGAAGGGCATTTTCAATCACACTTCCTGGAAAAAGGTAGAGACTAGCCAAAAACACAGTGACACTTCTGCTAAAAATAGTAATTATGGAACCTTCCTGCGACTAATCACATTTCTACCTCCAATCCCAACACACCTCCCTGTATTCAGCTCTATCCCAATCCTACCAGAATAAGGGTTGCTGGCCAGGCTACCATCCCTCCCTGTAAGTGGAGTGGTGGGTGTGGGAAACGGGATACTGTAGTAATCCTAGAACCAAAATAAAAGAGCAGAGATTAAATTCCACTTATTCCCCAGCATGAAAATCACAAGATGAGAGGAAGCAAGAGAATATTTGCATACTGCAGTTTACCCAGTTACTGATTAAACAGGTTAGCACTCACATGAACACCAATTAATCTTGCATACACTGTCCCCCTGCCTGGCCATGAGTAGAGTCACAGATATGCTTGTTGGAGTGCACATCAAGGTCCAGCAAGGACCAACAAGGTTTAATCTTACAGATCCTCCTAGTTAATTTTGAGAAAACAGGTTCTTCGTTCTGCTGAAGTGCTAAGCTGAATGTGGGGCCGGAGAAATTGGCTCAGTAGTTAACAGTGCTTGCTACTTTGACCTCCAGCATTCTTGTAAAAAGCCATGGGTATGATTATAGACATACCTGTAACACTAGCACACAGGGTATGTGGGTGGGTGGGAACAGAGAAAATGAGATACACTAAATATCCTCTCCTCTGGCACCTGTATGCACATATACTGTTAAAAGGTGGTGCGTGGGAGGCAGAGGCAGGTGGCTCTCTAGAGTTTGAGGCCAGCCTAGTCTACATATCAAGTTTTACGCCAGCAAGGCTACATAGTCCTGGCTATGTAGACTGAATGCTGGGATTGAAGGCATGTGCTACCACACCCAGCCTACTGTCTCAAAATAAGAACAAAAACTGAATGTGGTGGTGCTCCCTGGAATTCCAGCATTTGAAGATTTAGGAGGCTGAAGCAGGACAATCACCAAGGCCAGACTGGACTACACAGCCTACACAGTGAGATTCTGTCTCAAAACAACAAAAGCTGGGCCTGTTGATACAGGCCTGTAATCTAACTACTTGGAGGCACAAATCAAGTCTTCAATACCAGCCTAAGCAATTTAGTGAAACTAAAGGCTCTGAAATACACTATTTGCCAAATGCAAGAGACTCTAGGTTGATCACTGGTAATAGCAGAAAACTTAAGACATTAAATAATGAATAAGATGGCTAGAGCTCCCATTAATTCCAATTACTCCTGTAAACTTCCTGACTAAGACAGTAAAGGCTTAAATTACACCATTCTGGGGATTCTGGGAAAAAGAAGAAAGATAAAAGGTGAAACAGGCCGGGCGGTGGTGGCGCACACCTTTAGTCCCAGCACTCGGGAGGCAGAGCCAGGTGGATCTCTGTGAGTTCAAGGCCAGCCTGGTCTACAAAGTAAGTTCCAGGACAGGCACCAAAACTACACAAAGAAACCCTGTCTCGAAAAAAAACCAAAAAGAAAAGGTAAAACAGAGAAACAAAAAAACTGGAAAAAAGCCAGGGAGTTTGGGTGTGGTGGTAAGTAACTTTGGTTCTAGTACTCAGAATACACAGCTGGAACTACACAGACCCTGACTCAAAAAAA